GAGGACCCACCCGAGTCAGAGCTTTATAAATACCTTGGTGTAGTTCTCCTAGAGTTTTGTGCAAGATTGAGAGGAGGAATTAATTAGCGGCTGTAGCAGTGCAAAAGTAGGGGTGCAGGTGCAGCAGGGGGCGAAAAACAGAGGCTCCTTTATTTGGCGGAGTGCAAGGCTTTGGCAGGGTCTTGGGGTGCGTGCAATAAGAGAAATAGATGCGCTTTTTTGGCTGTTTTGTGAGAGATTGGAGAGTTAGTTTGAGGGTTTAGTTTGTGAGATTGTAAACCTATTTGTATTCTCTCCCTCTAATAGTAGATCTCCCCCTCCTTGCCTCGTGGACGTAGGCAGTTTGTCGAACCATGTAAAATTGGTTTGTTTGTGTTTGTGACCATTGTAATAGTTTTTAGGATCCTTCGACAAGTCAGTCCTAGAACTGATGAGAGGAAGAGCCGATATCTCACTTTGTTGAGATATTCGCTTTAGATTATTGTTTCCTTGGTGAGACGGGAATTCTTATTGATCTTTCTCTCTTATTGTGCACCAGAAACTCTGCCGAAATTTCCGCTGCGCACAACATTATCTTCACCTCTCTCTTTTCTGTACTTTGGTTCTTCTTCTTCTTCTTCTTCTCTATTTCTTTCTGTGAGTGCATAATTCTTCAAATATACTGTTTTTGGTAGTTTGATCATAGCTTTGACTACTTACGCCCAGGACATGATTTCTTGACGTTTATCTATTGATTTGGGAATATAAGTTAACATTCCTTGAGTTCATTATTTTGGATTAAAACTCTCAAAATGTGTTTTTCATGTCAAATATAACTGCTGATGTTTTGATCCCATAACACTCGGCATTAATTACTAGCTTTTTAGCTCATTTCAACTAATTGCTAATTGAAGTTTGATGATTGGTATGATTATTGAATTTTCAAAGTTATTATTGAAGGACCAAAAGGATCTTAATTTCTGATTTTAACAAGGCAAAAGATCACCATTTTATTTAATTTCATGTATATTTGTTTGAGTCAGTAGTAAAATTCCTAATTGAACTACTAGAATACAGCTTGGAACTCTCTTTTTTGCATTACAAAAAATTGATGTTTACATATGTAAATTTATTTGTTCTCTCTCTTGTACTAATAAAAAAATTGACATAAGATGGCGGGAAAATTAGCTGTTTTTTTACGTTCAAACCTGGCTATACAAAGTGTTGTAATTAGCGGGAAAATTAGCTGTTTTTTTAATATATAATATAGATTTTTCGTTAATATGGTGTAAATGTATATATAATGCAGGAGAGGAAAATTACTCAACGCAAAGCGGTGCGTCTTCTCAGAGTTGTAGTGAACGATGACGAGTTGCTGATTCGGACCGTCAACGATTACGTCAAAGAGGTACTCTTCCTAATTCAAATATTAATTTTTAAAATATTTATTAATTGAGGAATTTTGTTTACATTCAAAAATATATATGAAATTACGTATTTACTGAAAGATTGTTGGTTTCGAAATTTGTGTTTTTTGAGCTTGAATATTTAGTTAATCATTAATTTATTATATAATATATATATTATATAAATATAATATATATAATATATATATATATATATATATATATATATAGAGAGAGAGAGAGAGAGAGAGAGAGAGCAAGACTCCTATCAACTTAAGTGGATAGGGATAGTTGTCCACCAAGATTTTTAGCCACTCATTTATTAATATAAAAAGTCTCTCATATCATGCCAAGGATCCCTAGGCACAAATCCATGGATAAAAAGTTTGGTGGACAACTATTCCTATCCACTTAAATTGATAGGAGTTTTTCACCGATATATATATATATAATATATAATATATATATATATATATAAATATATATATTATATATATAATATATATATATATGTATGTTTTTGGTAAGTAAGAAATTCTTATTAGCCACTTACCAAATAAGAAACAAAACTGTTAATATGTACGAGGTTGTGTCATCCTCCAAAAACATGAGGATACATAGCTCAAAGAAGAAGGAAGAAGAAAGAAAAGAGGGGGGGGGGGGGGGGGGGGCGATTGTGTTCTCTTTGAAGCTAAGACTAACTTTGGAGGCGCAACTGCATTACATTATCTAACTGCAAATGTTGAACAGACCTTAAGTTGATCTTTTATACCTAAGAAACTCAGGTATTAAAAAAAATTATTATCTGGGGGCGGTTCTTCATGGTGTGCGTTGGCAGGCGACCTCATCTCTGCTAACTTACGCCTCTGCCGTGATGGTATAAAAAGAAGCGAAATCTAGGGAGAAAAATCCTCTCCATTGGTTTGAGGGGATCTCAATCAGAGTTTATGTCTCCAGTGGACCAATTTGAGTCAGATTTGATGGAAGACGAAGACAATTTAAACTCGATTCTCATGGAGAGCACCAGTCCTCAGGGCGCTCGACGCAAATTGGTGATCTCTGATATTTTGGCTAAAATCGTGCCATTAGCTACTCACCCAGTTAGTACATCTCAATATGGGTTTCATATTGCTCGTAATCTCATTAAATCTCCTATTTTGCATGGGGGTGCTAATTCTAGGGCTTCATGGGTTCTGATGAGGCAGAGTTAACATTTGAATCAAATTTTAATATCCCTGTCTTCTCTTTCTGATGCTAATTCGATTATTATATATGGGTGCAAATTTCCTGGATTAAGAACTGAACTTATGGAATACTACAGGTTTGAGATAAATTGCTAGTATCATTGGCCTCCCAATGGCAACAGATAAACTTACTGCAAGTGGACAAAGGTTGTCTTACGCAAGGGGTTTAATTAAGGTCCAGCTTTTTTTAATATCTGATTTGCCAGATGAAATATATATTCGAAGTCCAAATGGAAGCCTTTTCAAGCAAAATGTGGTCTATGGATTCAGACCAAGATGATGCCCTTATTGTGAAGTTGTGGGGCATGATCTCACTCATTCATTGTAAGCAACATTGAGTTATTTAGAAATGTGTAGCTAAAAAACCAATTTCTCAGGAGTCTGGGAAAAATCAAAATTCTCTACTCCTCATACTGATGCCCCTCGTGTTGACGTCCCTCATGTTGCTCCTCAAAACTGCAGATATTAGCATACATTCTCAAGAAGAGCAACCTAATAGTAAAGCAGTTTTAACAATGTCGGCAAGCTTTCCGCCCTTGGATTCTAATTCAAGTGCTCTTGATCCCTCTTGTGTTGATAGAGATGGTTCCTTTTCTCAGTGAATTGTGCTTTTCGGAATGTGAGGGGCTTTAATACACCCTAAACGTCTAATAGTAAAGCAGTTAATAAATGAATATAGTCTTTCTTTTGTTGCTCTATTGGAAACAAAAGTTAAAGCTGAAAATATGGACAAGAAAGATTGCTCCTGGATGGTGTTGGATACCAAATATGACTTACACTAGAATTGGTAGAGTTTGGGTTTCTTAGATCCGCGATATTTGGACATTCATATGCTCTTTAGCTCTACTTAACACATTACCTGCTCTGTTAAATCTACAGATGACAGGTTCTCTTGCGCAATTTCCTCAATATATGTATCTAATTCTCTGTATACAAGGAAAATCCTATGGGAGAAGCTTTGTAGTGCATAGACATCTGGACCTTGGATTCTAAGGGGGTACTTCAATACTATACGTTTTCTGTGCTAACATCCAAGCTTCCATCAAAGGTACTAATATTGTATTGCACATTAAATCCTTTTCCCCTTTGTTTGGTCGTAATTAGCTAGCATTTAATTAGTGTCCGTCATGTGAATATAAGCAGTCGAGGCTGCCCTCAAATTGGTTGAGTTAACATGGTCATTCATCAACTAATAAAAATTCCTTTTTCAATATCTCCATCTATTGATTAACTTCTCTCTCCTTATTCCCCATTGCATAGTGGAGCAAGAACTCAAACATAACGAGGAATAAAGGGCAACATGCGATTGAGAAAAACAAAATGGCTGTACTATGTACTGAAACATTTATGCCATAAAAGCAAGATGCCCTTTATCTACATTGTGCTCTTTTATTATCTTCTATTGGGTTGAAGGATCAATTAAGCTCTCTTCATCAACCACTTTTTTTCGGGTTACCAGCATTTGATTTTAAGTCTTTTTGAATTTGAATATTTTCAAGTATGGATGTCAATAACCAGAAGTTCTACAACTGAAGTCTTTGCTGTAGACAAGGCTCATTTGACTTTGCAACTGCTTTCGCTGTAATTTATTTTAAGCCACAGTTAAAGTTTACAAAGTACAGCTTGTAAATCTGTAATTAGAGTTTCTATTACTCATTCATGATTGTTTTTAGATGCAAGATGGAGTTATTTCAATCGCTATGTTTTGTGTTTGAATGTCTTTTAGTAATTTTGTTTAAGGGTTTCTGCCTCCGATGTTAATAAAAAAATCCGACTTAAAAAAGAGCACACTGCTCTAGATAATTCGCTCAAGGTTTCTCATCATGATAGATAACTAGTGCTGTCATGACATGTGAAAATGCTACAGTGCATCAATTATGAAAGTAAATCTTATATACTGGTGACAGTTTCTCCTATGGTTTCAGTTATAAATGTGATTTAAGGTTCATTGGATACAAGGTCGGATCGGTTTGCAGAAAGATAAACCCCAGATATCAGGTTCCAAAATGTCTTCAAATTTGAAAGCCCCGGGTTTTTCCAGATTTTCGAGAGTTGGGATTCAACTCCACTCTCTTACTTTTTATTTTTTTTAAAAGGATATTCATCACAGCTTACTTGACGCCCTAATAAATGAAACCACCAGCCTCATACATGACAGACCTAAATTTTAGGTGGTAGGTTCTTTGGTCTGATTTCAGCATAAATAGTCCAAAGTTAGCCTCTGGTCAATGCTTCATAGTCCTAATGTAACACGACATTTGGTAGCACTTATAGCATCATATACCTACACGCCTTATTCGCAAACATTAATCTTTCGAAAACATAGCCTCCAAAATCATTCGTCATAGCAAGCAAAATTTTGAAACTCGGATGATGTTTTTAAACTGAAACATATCAGCAAACTGCTAGCTCCACAATCTAAATTAAAAAGTAGATGTTAATCCAGGCATGGTTTGACAATAAATGAGTTTTGACAAAGTTGGTGTAATTATTTAACAGCCTAATCTTCTAGCCATATATACAAGAACAAAAGTATAGAACTAACCCAGCTACTGAAGAAACATCTAGCTGTTTGTGACAACGGATCTTTCTCCAAACATTCTTGAGTACTTACAGAGCTTTTCTAGCTTTCTCCAGGTCAGGAAGATCTGCCACAAAAAAAGGAGGTTTTAGATAACTGCATGATGAATAGAGGAAATTAGATCTAAGCCAATCAATGAGCTACAATAGTACAATATATAAAATAGTATGATGGCTCATGTTATCCGGTTATGCATTTGAATGCAAGAATATGCATGGAGATATATCAGACAATCATGTAGGTCGTTTCTAACATGTTATAGTCAGTAAAGTGCATCCTTTTTGTATTAAATTAAATACGGTCAAGGAGGAAATATGGCCTTTGTTAAACGTCCACTGAGCTCTTTCCTGACTACAAGCAAAGAGATGTCACAGTTTTCACGGCTTATATTTTGGAACAGATAAATTACTCAGTTTTCACTAGCAAACAATAGATAATATTTTTTTCTTTGTGGTGGCGGTGGGGAGTGTGCATGTTGCAGGTGTGAGGTTTTGGGGGGGGGGTGGGGGGGGGGTGTTCAATGAACCCATGCAGAAATTATAAACCCACAGATCATGTATTTCACAATTTGTACGTAATTATTCTTTATTAAATCATGTAGTATATGCAGAGCGTAAATACACCGTATAAAATGCTTAGTGTTGCAGGTTGTTCATAATGCATTTCTTATCCCGTTCCTTTGATTTGACCTATGAATTTTCACTCTCATGCCCCTGCCCACCACCCACCACCCCCCCATACCCCCCCCCAAAAAAAAAAAAAAACAACCCCATAGTAATAATAATAAAAGAAGAAGAAAATTGATGTCTTCTACAGAGATGTACTGGAGGATGAACAGGATGACCTAAAAATATTCATCCAGATTGAAGTGAGTCAAAACTTGTCCCAAATAACGAGTTGCTTGGCAACACGGTATGTTTAAAAAAACCCTAATGGAGGCTCATTCAACAAAAATAAAGACCTGGAGTAAGAAAGTTTATCGAAAGAACCTGAATGTGCAAAAAAGAACAAATTCAAATTCATGAATGAGTTGAAATTTGATGTGTCCACATTAGACTGTTAGGACTTCATCTATTTTATCATAAAATTTGTTGTTTTTTAAGGGTTTTTTTCTACAGATTTTATCAGAATTTAGGTGTACTAATAAGATAAGAAAGTGATAAGAAGGTCGTAAACCATAAAGAATATCAATAAGTTTTTTCTACATTCGTACAATGTGCTATAAGGAACCCACATTATTCAAAAAATTCTATTAGTTCATTTTTTCTGTTGATTTGAATAATTTGTATATACAAGAGCACATATGCATTTAAATGAAATAGTGGGTCCAGAGGCCCTGATAGAGGCTAGGCATCAACTGAAGGAATTCTTCAAAATAATTGTCATATTATTACTTGAAGAGCAAGCTTAAATGTTCATGCACTCAGACTGAGAGGGTATCCTTTGCAATCTTTATGAGATCAAATTAAAGAAAATGAATCTACTTATCCGCAAAATGATATGTCCAAATTCTCAGAAGGTAAGAGTTACATGAGGAGCAAACACTAAGGTTCATATGGATACATGAACTATATGTGACCTTGTGTCACAATAGTCCTCCTTGGTCTTGACCTTGAAACTTGAGGGCCAATTTCATTTATTAGCATATACGTGAAAATATCTCAACTCCACGTTATAAATTGCCATCTACCCTGTCCATTTGTGTCACCTGAGCATAACCAATGAAGAAGAGTGAATTTCCTAAGGTTTTCTTTTAGTATTACTTCCTTTTGCTATTTTGGTTAATTTTTTTCTCCATAATACTTCAAATATACTTCTTTTGTTAGTTTGATTATAGTTTTCCTGCTAATACCCAGGAGGGCCAGGACATAATTTCTTGATGTTTATAACTTGATTTTGGGATATTAACATTGCTAGTATTTTATCATATTCAGTTGAAACTTAAGAAAAAGAGGTATTCTCATTAAATAATAAATACTTACATTAATGTTTGATTTGATCTTATAATCCTTGGAATTTTTGGCCTTTTCAGCTTATCTAAATAATGGTTACTAGAATTTGGCTGATGTATATAATTAGTTATGGAAGGACCAAAATTAAATTTGTTCCTGATTTTAATAATGCAAATATCACAACTTTTTTATTTCATTTATATTGTGCTTGAGGTGTAACGGTAAAATTCTTAATAGAACTACAAGAATACAGCTTGGTACTCTCTTGCATCATCTGAGATTCCGAATTATGTATGCATAAGATCCAACTTTATGGAGAAAGCTATTCATGAAAAGGTGAGGTTGGTCTGCTAACTGCATTACTTTCTATGGCTGGATTGGAACTGGAAGAGCCTTCTTTAGCATTCTCCATATTTTAATTTCAGCTTTTCCTGCCAAATGGAGAAAGCTATTGATAAAGATGGCTCTCCATTTCCAATCCGGCCATAAAAAGAATGGGTTTGCAGACAAACATCGCCTTCTATTGCTATCTTGAAACTAATAAAAAATCAGAAAACCCTAGGTCTGAGTGACGATATATGCTCCATTAAGAAGGTTCAGAAGGATTTAAAGGTAAGAAATGAGTGGAACTTCTTTGTTACATATTTATTTGTTATGTACATTTGCAATGAATATGGTTTATATATATAATGCAAGAGGAAAACTACGCAACAAAAGTTCTCCAAATGATAGTCAGAGATGATGATTTAAAGGAAGAAAAATACTTGTAATTCTTTTTTACATATTTATTTTTTACGTAGATTTGCTATGAATTTGGCTTAAATATATATAACGCAGGAGAGAAAAATTACTCACCGCAAGATGGTAGATCTTCTCAAGACGATAGTCAGGGATGATGATTTACTACCCCCAACTATCAAGGCTTGGTACTGTTCTAAATTTATTATAAAAATTTTTATTATATAAAAATTGTATTAATAATAAGATATTGGCATCTTTGTTATCCATTTAACTGTCACATAAATATTTTTATTAACTAAATAAGTTCTTAGGATCTCAAATGAAATCTTGTTTTGTATCATTTTTGAACGACTTTTACACTTTATAGGTTTAAATTATCCAAGGTGAATATTTATATAATATATCATATTTCTGGTAGACATAAGTTGAAGGTTCTTTAACTTGGATTGGGATAGTTAACAAATATAGGATATTTCTTTTTTATTTTCAAAGAGGGATGATAAACAAGGATGGTCACAAATAAGGGTATTTCATGTACTAATTCCAAAATTAAGAGATTAAAGCTATGCAGTTATTAATATTGTTGCTGAACATTTCTCATGCTCATGCTTATATCAATCTACTAATTAGCTTGATGGTTTTGAAAAATAATGTGCTCATTAGTTAAAGCAGTGAAATCACATGCTTATCATTAGGCGTTATGTCTATTATATCAATGAATAATATTTCAGATATAACTTTTATTTGATTGGATAACAAATATTGAAATATATTTAGTTCGTTACTCTTACCTTCAATTGCTTTTTATTTTTCTTTGTAACTAGCTCTTTGATTCATCCCTGGAATTTGATTGCATTGTGTGGTTATCTATTCTTTTATACAAATGGGAGAAACAAAGAGTCACTGTTCATACTACAGTAAATACCACAGTATATTTACTGTAGCAGTATTACTGTAGCAGCTAAGGGATTTAAAAGATGCTGCAGCACATCGGTTACTGTAGCAGCTCGGGGATGACACTGTAGCAGGCGAGTTACTGTAGCACCCCAGAAAATTCAAACCGGGAGGGTTAAAAAACGGCGGGAACACTGTAGCAAAAAAAAAAACACCGTGCGGCACAGGCTGCACACTAGTTTATTAGATAATGGAAATATCTTTTATATCACAAGCTATTGACTAAATTTTCTCCCATTTTTCTCTTCAGTGTAAGGCAGCACTAGCTCTTGAGAATAACATGGACAAGTATGACAGATGTGACCAAATAAAGTTACATTGTCAATTATTTGGTGTTCTTCAATTATCCCCTCTTAGGCCATAAGTATCAATAACCTCCTCTCATTCTCTTCATTTTTCATTTAACTGTATGCATGTCAATTCCAAGTATTTTTATTCAGTATACTGAAGTATGGATGTCTGCAACCAAAACTTCCATAACTAAATCGATCCACTACCTATTTACAAAAAAATTATACAAATAATACTAAATAAATTAGTAATGTACACCCTATTAAGATGTATCAGCCATAAATCCCTAAATTTATCTAATTATGTATACATTGAAATTTAAGAATTTATAAATTTTCTTTTATTTCCTATAGGATATTTGAATCACTCGACTAACAAACTTTTTTTTATATTTACTCCTAAAATACTTGCTTGTTGTTAGGATCAAATACAACTAAATCTGGGATTATATAATTAAGTTGAATGCTCAATTGAAAAAGGAGAATTTCATGGAATCAGAGAAATAAACTAATTGAATATTTATACAAATTTAGGAAGCAACAGATTGGAAAAAATACAAGTAAGATTAGGCTTAAGATAAGGTATAAGTTTTAGACACCTAGGCTGTGTATCCTAGGAGTTTTAAGTATTCTTTGTATATGCATGCTTAGGAAATATCATAGCACTGTATTTTATAATTTTTAAAGACACTATCATAAATTAATCATATCCAATTGACAAAATTGCATTAAATTAAACATTTCTTTTAATTTTATCATTACAATAGATCATGACAGGTGAGAATGATACCATGCTTCATTTATAAAAGTCAAATTATTACATAAATTTGTTGGTAAATCCACATATCATTTTTACATGTATTCATATTTGTGACGGATTCTTGAATGCTTTCAGCTATAGATGTGATTGCAGGTACTTTGAATGCAAATCAGACATGCCTAAGAAAAAGAGTAAATTTCACAAAACTAACATGAACTTTAGGGATTTTGAACAAAAGTACCCCAAACCTTTTTATTACAGAATTGTTATGAACTTTTGAAACCATAGAAAAATAGCATAGACTATTGAAAATTGCTTCAAATAACCCTTATTAATATCTATAATGAGGGGAGAGGACTAAGAGGAGGAG